CGTCATCAAAAGGCGCAGGCCCCCCCAGTCAATCTGGCAGCCCGAGTCAATCTGGTACCTACACCGGAAGATGGCAGGAGTGAGGTGCTACTACGTTTGGAAAAAAATGGCTGCTCCTGGACTCAGTTGTTGCGATGAAAATGATTGTTTTCATTTTTTCTGCTGATTAATGCCAAATTCATTAAATTACTGTGAACGTATTAGTTGTAGGTATAAATAAGGATTCATTGATTATTCCTTGCTGACCGGACTTTTCCTTTAAGTCATCATGCCTAATTGTATTGTCACCATGTCTGAATGCTGTCGTTTTCGGTTCTGCCATTTCCAAAGCTTATTAAATCAGCTTCATTTCCGTTACATTGATTTTCAAAGCCCTGTGTGAATTTCCAATTACATAAACATAGATTCAGTCAGAGAAAAGATAAATTCCCTACCTGATGGCTGCTGACCTTCTGAGTTCATCCTGATTAAATGAATGGATGTTTGCCGGTTTGACTTTGAGCTGAAGTGATACGGAAGGTCCACTGATAGTTAGAAACTCAGAAATGTTTATTTAAAAGTCTCATGTTTGTGGCGTCCTTCTGGTGCCAGCTCATTAATGATAACATAGTACTACTACACATCCAAACACATGCAGCGCTCCATCAGCCTGCTTCCAGCCAAATATTAACAGTTATATAAGCAGACGAGGCAGGCAGACTGACTGATGCGTGCTCCGAGGGTGTTAATAGAAACAAGGGCTGCTGGGAAACAGAAGCAGAGAAAGACTCCATGTTCCCTTCCATAAATCTGGAATGAAACACTTCCATTTGAGCTACAAATGAATCAGCAAAATGTAATCTAAACCGGTTTACTGAGAGGGTATGATAACAAATGAAAGCAGATGTTATAGATTGTTTTATTTCATTCTAACTGGCTGAATCTAGGCAAACTGATATAAAAGAAAAACTGAAACAGAAGAAGAAGGAGACATCAGAGGACAGGAAGTATCCTGTATCAGTTTAGTTCTTCTGAGCTCATGGCTTCATCACATCCTGAATTACCGATATCCATCACAGAAGGAGCAGAAAATCATCATCATCATCATTCAGCCTGTATTTAATCAGGAAAGTCACCATGAGATCAGCAATCTCTTCTTTAGGGAAACCTGGGAAGTTCTACTTATTCTGTCAGAGGCGACGGGATGAACAGAGTTTGCTTCTGTCCACACGAAGCCAGACGCCAAGGGTCACCACAAGCCTCCTCGAGGTGGGCCCCTCTTTACCTGCCAAAAATACACTTGTCGG